TAGTCCAATTTAAGGCCAAGAGAGGCCTTACGGTTGCCGGCGAAAAGGGCCGAGAAAGGCCTCTTCAAAGAGTCGGGTTCTCTTTGAGGCATTTTATCGAGCACTTATTGTTCACCAATGGTAGTGTTTAAAGTAGTCTTCTCTTTCGAAGGTTTCCCTCCAATAACTTGCTCTTCAGCTATTACTAACATTTTCAGCAACTAGTGACGCATTGGAGCCCTCAGGCCGGCCCTCCGAAACCTTCAAAACACCATTAATGGCGCCGGTGGAGTTGGAGGGGGAAGCGGCTTTTTCAGCCATGGCAGGAAGTTCTTCCTCTGTTTCATCAATGAGAGTTTCATCGTGTTCGTCGGAGTGTGCTGAACACTCTCCGTCAGTCAACTTCCGATAATGAAGCTTCTTTTTCGACTTTCCCATGGTGACTATCAATCGAAAATTAAAAATCTACAGAAACTGGGGCAGTGAACTAAAAGGTTCGAAGATGGCGGTCACTCCAAACCCCTAGCTTCGGGAAAAAGGTCAGGGACACAATGGAGGATTTTTACGAACACAAGGAAGCCAAAGACCGCCTGAAATTTGGACGGAGAGGGCCACCGCGCGACTTGCTGGAAGAGACGAAGAACGCCGAGAACTCGCAAAACTCCTCGAAAGAACACAAACCAGGTCGGGAAAAATACCGAGAAAAACCTAGGATGGTGAAGAGCCAAGAAATCTGCAAAGAATGAAAGGAAATCCGGTGAAGAGATCCAAGAAGCAAGGCGCCGTGAAGGGAATTCCATGGGAGAAGAAAATCTCTCTCTCTAACCTTGACTGAGAGCTCTTTCTTTTAATTTTTGTCATGTTTTGGCCTTAGGTTGTCGTGTTCTGTCCGTATGTACATGTGTTTTTTTTACCCTTGAACTTTGGCTATTTGTTTTTGAACTCTGCATAAGACTTGAAGTTCAGTCTATTATATTTCTATAGGTGCAGGAATCATATAATTACCTTTGTTATATAAAAATTTACGTTCGAAATACGAACACTGCGCGAGCAATTTTCTGTAGAGTTGGCAGCAGAATTATTGTTTAAGTTTGACCAGTTTTCATCCCTTTAACTTGCTCGAAAGCGTTCAAGGTCTTCACAAGAAATGTAGTTCTGTCTCTTGATTTTCCATATTTTCAAAACATCAAGAATTATGTTCATCATACGGGACTGCGCATGAGTTGTATGTTCAAATTTTTGGCAGCAGTAAAGTCCGTGTGTTGGTTGAAGTTTCACCCTTTAAAAGCCCTTGTTTGTATTTTATGTTCAAATAAAAGTTTTAGATGTGTGTCTTGGAATCGTTTTGAAAAATGAATCACTTTAATACGTGTTTTCTATTAAAAGTTATATTCAAAATAAATAAACTGCGCATAAATGGTTTATCCGATTTTCGGTAGCTTGAGTTTTATGTTTGGAAATAGTTTCCATCTTCTGATTTCACTCGTAAGTGGTCGATATCTGAATAATAGTTTTAGATTTGAGTCTTTAAATTGTATTGGAACTAGAATCACTTCAATCCGTGTTTCAGCCGAGAATTTATTTATGTTTAAGTCGAGCTTTAGCAAGTTAAATAGTTGAACTAGAATCACTTCAATGTCCATGTTAACAAAGAAAATCTAATACAATGGAGGCATAATATCAGTAGGATTTTACTTACAAAACCACCTTCTTTGATTTTTTTTTTTTAACACCACGAACAAAGAGACTCTAATGAAAAAAATATTAGCGCATAACAATAAATAAATAAATATGCAACTGAACATCTCAAAATTCAATTAATACACGTTTTATGTCATCAACGTCCATCTGAATATGTTAATTAACATTATGTAGCCTATTTTTCTTTTTTATTTTTTTTTCAAATGCGCATATTAAGATCAATCATAACGGAACCAAAACAAATTTAACATGGCAAATATTTTTGGCTCACATATTTTTATACATTATGAGTTCACAATAGCAAGTGAAACATACAAATTTAGGAACAAAAAAGTGCAATAAAAAAATTGGCCAGGAAAAATATTAAACAACCAAAATTAAACAAAAAAAGCACAAAAGAAAATACCAAGTAAATACAACATCACATAAGAATAATAACCAGACACACCATTATGCAACCAACAATGAATAAACCACCGAAAAAATACTTGCGCAATAACATCGTAGGACGAAAAAAAGTTTCCAATAATAACATCCAAATACATCGTTGGGTTCCTACCAGAGAATACAAGAATTTAATGTCCGGCAAGGAAGTGTATACCTGTTGAAATGCGCCACAACAACGGACCTTGGCAATTTAGATGGATCTGTCGAGTTCACAGGTGGACAAAGGAAGAAGATGATGAAGAAAGGGAAACAATAATGGCCAAATGTCTTTGTGTTAGGTAGGGATGGCATGATGTAAATTGTGGGTAAAGGAGGTTAGGATGGTCAGAAATTAAAAATAAAAGGGGCATATTAGATTGTCACACTAACAATACTGTAGACATTGATTTTATCTTATCTGCAAGCTGTAGATTAAATAATCGGGGGAGAGCGAGATAACTCAAAAAAATCACGAGCCGAATATAATCGTGCAGGCCTCAATCAGGGAAAATAAACGCACTTTTCAGGGTTGATAAATGCCACAATCTTGTCCTAGCTCCCCCAACAAACATGCTCTAAGTCTTCTCTAGAGGAGACTAGTGTTCAGACACTCATCAAAATGGAAATTAGTATTACAACCAAACAACATTAGCATTACAACCAAACAACATTAGAACACTAGTAGTAAGAAAAAGAAATTCGCAAGGCATCATCAAATCCTCATTAGCATTTTAGCCTTTTCTCATATACAACCAAACAACATTAGAAGATAATCATAAAGATGAATGCCTCTATGTCTTTATTAGTCAAATATCCAAATATGTCCGTGAAAGTAAGCTTTTCTTAATATCTGAATCTTGCATTGCATCTGCAAAATAAACAGATATCGAGACAACATCATACACCAATAAGAATAAGAGAGAAAATTGAATTTTAATGAATGTAAAACAAATAGAATTTAAAACTATAAATGGAGTAACATAAGTTAATGTACAGAAACTAAAGTTGTTAAATATTGTATATGAAATGCATACCCGTCTCAAGATTCTCAAGATCTTGTATAACTTCTTCCACTTCTTTTGGTGACTTATCGTAGCCAATCTTGGCAGCAAATAAGCACTTCTGCTGTAGTAGGAGTTAAAGAACTGCTAAAGCGATCCAAAGTTCGACCACCAGTGCTAAAAGCGGAGTCGGAAGCCACAATTGAAGATTGAATGCCCAAAACATCCCTCGCAACACAACTTAAATAGGGATACCTAACCGAATTAACTTTCCACCGGGTCAAAATACCTAAATCAGATCTGTATTTTTCAGAAAACTCCTCCAAGTACTGATCAAATTCGTCTTTAGTAGCTGTTTTTTGTTGGTTTTCTTCTTCTAGAAAAAAATCATCAACATCACCAATGTTGATGTCCTCGTAAACCCTTTTAGACTCACCTTTGTCATTCACTCCATCACCTTTTTCATTCAAGACACTGTAATCCTTAATTAAACTTTTCATAGATGCAATTACTTTATCCACCAGTTCCTCGGCTTCTCTTTCACTATAGTGGAAAGCATATTTGACCTTCAAATACTTCATCTTGTATCTAGGATCAAGTACCACAACAATGAAAAGCATCAAGTTTATTTTGTTGAGAGACCCCCAGTATTTATCAAACTCGTCTGTCATTTGTTTCCCTATTCCATCAAACACATATTGTTACTCTTCTCAAAATTTTCAATTTCCTTCAAAGTGCGATCTATTTCAGGAAAATACATGTTTGATATTTCATATAATGTTCCTGATAATTTACAGGTAACATCATAAAATCGCTTCAGAAATTTTATGAAATGAGCAACATAATTCCAATCATTCTCACAAGAAAATTGATCACCAAACTATTTAAAAAAACTTCTCATCCAAATCTTCCAACATATCAAATGCTTTTTGAAATGCTAAAGTAATTTCAAGCATCAAATTAGTTTAACTCCACCTTGTAGGACAATCTAGTATCAAAGAAGCCTTACTTTTGATATTTGCTTCTTCACAACATTTTTGAAACAAATCTAGCCTTTGCGAGCTAGCCCTTACATACCGCACAACATTCTGAATCTTTGTCACAGAATCACAAGCAAACTCAAGGCCATCTTTAAAAATCAATTGCAAAATATGAGCAAAGCACCTCATGTGAAAAGCTTCCCCACCCAAGACAAAAGCATTTTGTTTCATCAATTTCTTTTTCAATTGTTGGATGGTTGTATCATTAGATGATATATTATCAATCGTAATGCATATGACCTTATCCAAGCCCTATTCATCCATGCAAAAATCAGTTGCATTTCCAATGTTTACCCCTTTATGACTCTTAATAACACAAAAGCTTAAAATCCATTTTTACATTATCCAGGTAGAATCAATGAAATGGGCTGTCGAACACAAGTAATTGACATTTTGTATACTGGTCCACGTATCAATAGTTAAAGATACCCTTTGGCAGTGAGACTTAAGAAGTGCTTTCAATTTTTTCTTTTCTTTCACAAACATAGAAAAACAATCCCTAGCAATAGTAAATCTTGATGGAATATAAAACCAAGGACAACAAACTTCAATAAACTGTTTAAAACCGTCTCCCTCAACAAACCTTAAAGGATGTTCATCCCTTATAATCATCCTAACAAGTGCTTCCCGTACAATTTCCTGTTCAAATTTCCAACAAGAGAGTTTATACAACTCTGAAGTTTCCAACCTCACTATTACAACCACAGCTTTTATATCACCAAACACATTAAGCCCGTCCCGTCTCAATGCGATTGTCATCTTTCAATCTTACAAAATGATTCCATACCTCAGACCTGTTTTTTTNAACAAGAGGCACCTTAAGTCGGATTTGTATCCATCGTACGTGACGGATTTAGAGCGCTTGACGTCGACGACAATTGATTTTTTGTGGAATCAACTTTTCTTTTACTCGTAGCTACAAAATATTGAAGTAAACAATATTACGATCAAAAAATAAAACTAACATAAACGTTTTTCTTTTTTTATTTCTTACCACTTCTAGTTGATGATAAAAAAACTCTTTACGAGCTTTTGGAGCCATTAAATGAATCTAAAATAAAGAAAAAGAACTCATTCATTAATTAAAGACAAAATGTATCAAAAGATCAACACATACTTACTAACACTCACAAGAACTCGAATAAATTGAATTCTTTCATCTAATTACTCAAAGTCCCATTCAGTTATCTTCACCAACACCATATACAATCAACTAATCAAGGTACACTAACAAATGATATATTTTTCCACAAAGCCCAACACAATTTCCTCAAGCATACATATCAAACAGGACAATAAACCGGGAAAAACACATCTAGAAGGAAGTATGATAATTAACATTTGACAGTACCATTACCAGGGGCATTGGGCGACGGGATGGTCGATGTTGTCTTCACCGGTCAGCAAGATGAGGCAGCGACACACGGGGTCAGGTAATACCAGGGACGTCGGGCGGTTGCGGTGGTCGGCGGCAGGTCTACGGTGGTTGACGGATTTGAGAGAGAGAGAGATAGACAGCGAAGGGTCGTAGTTGATTGTTGAGGGGAGGAATTTCTGATTTCTCATCTGGTTAGGGTTGACCAATATACATAACTATTCTAGTTATAAAATAATATTCCATAAAAGATACCGGATAGAGTGATTTCCAAATATGCTTGAATAGTAAGTTACACAAATTTAAATCAGTAATAATTGTTTTCTTTCTCTCTCTTACTATATTTTTTCTCTCTCTCTTCTCACTCGTTTCCGGGTTTTTTTTCTCTCTTCTTCTTCCTCCTCCTCCTCTTCTTCTTCTTTCTTCTTCTTCTTCTTCTTCTTCTTCATGCATAACAATAAAAATAACAACAAAAAAATATTAATCAATTGGTTATATACATAAATAAAAATAAAATTAACTAAAAGCGACATAAAAATTTATTAAATTAAATTTAAAAATAATAAAATATAATACATACAGATAAGTATAGTCATGCAAGAAATAAGACAATACGAATAACTCAAAAACCTTCGATTTAACAACAAAACAATAAAATCACTTTACACAAAAATACAGAAAGTGTAACAACAAAACAATAACATAACAACTTTTGAGCAACGTAAAAACAACGTTTAGTGCATAACAATTCAGACAAAAGGTCAATTGAAGATATTTAAAATTGTAACTTTCAAGTTTCAACTGACAAAATTCTTCAAATAAATGGTGGTTTATTATGACATGAAGACCACACCCACCCTGAGCTCTTCTTCCTCGATTCACCCAATTTTCAAATTCTATAACAAGAGAGAGACCATCACAGAGGAACTAACATGAACGATTGAGTTGTAAAGAGTTGAGTACCGTGATTTAAATGCCAGATCCAATTGGTTGGCGGGCAACGAGGCAGGCTGCTTTGTGGACTAATGGCTCATGGCAGTCGACGGACTGAAGGTGATGGCGAACAGATCAGAATTGAAATATATATATATATACATATACATATATAATAAATAAAAGGAAAGGATATGTATATATATAATTCGAACAAATCTGGAGATCAAGAACAAAAAAAAAAGCAGTGAATTTTTTTTTTGGCCATTTTCAATTGTGAAACACAAATTTTAGCCATAGTTTGGTAAAAACATCCTTTTTTGCCATTTTGGCACTTAAAATAACAAATTTGACCTTACTATCTATTTTTTTAAAGGAAATAAAAAATTGTTAATCTAAATGACAAAAATGCACAACTTCATCATTTTTCTCATCCGTGTTTTCTTCCTATGACATTCACTCCTTCTATGGGCATGATAATTTCTTGAACATTGAATGATTTCTGGTCCAGAAATCATTCAGAATCGCAGATATCGATTTCTGGGGTTTCTGGTTCCAGAAATAGATTTCTGGTCACAGAAATTGATTTATGCGATTTCTGGTTTCTTGTCCCAGAAATGGATTTCTGTCTCCAGAAATGACCATGAAATCGATTTCTTTGCTTTCTGGACTAAGAAATCGATTTCTGGACCCAAAAAACCGATTTATGGTCCCAGAAACATAAAGATCCAGAAATCGATTTATGTGACCAGAAATCCAAGAAATCGATTTCTGAGACCAAAAATCGATTTCTGTCTCCAGAAATGACCAAGAAATCGATTTCTTTGCTTTCTGGGCCAAGAAATCGATTTCTGGACCCAGAAAACTGATTTATGGTCCAAGAAACGAGAAGATCCAGAAATGGGTTTCTGGTACTTTTGGTCTCAGAAAGAAATTGATTTCTAGCCAATGATGTACCCCAGAAATATTTTTATGGGCCCAGAAATATTTTTATGGGCCCAGAAATCGATTTCTGGGACCAGAAATCAGAAGATCCAGAAATCGATTTCTAGCCAATGATGTACCCCAGAAATATTTTTCTCGCTCCAGAAATCGATTTCTAGGACCAGAAATCAGAAGATCCAGAAATCGATTTCTGGGTCCAGAAATCGATTTCTGGTACCAGAAACGTCATTTCTGGTCCCAGAAATCTGTTTTCGACCCGTATAAACCATTTATGTGATTCCAAAAATCATTTCTATTTCAAATTTTATTTGTTTTATTAAACATTGATTGCTTAATTACTAATTATTGGGAATCATTTCTAGAGCGCGATCATGGTAGTACGCTCAAATACAATAAAGCACTAAAGTCTCATAATGTCGTGTATGACTTCGTTTATGGAGATCATAATAAATCTTGGGAACTTTTGTCTGGATATTTTCATATGTTGATGAGAGAAAATCCTGGAACCACCACATGCTATGAGACAAATGACGATGACATGTTCAAGTACGCATTCTTTGCCTTACATGCCTCCAACGGATTCATTAATTATTGTCGCCCTGTGATTGTGGTTGATGGTACTCATTTGAAGGGTCAATATAAAGGCATTCTGTTCGTAGCAACAACAAAAGATGGAAATGAGCAAATATTTCCATTGGCTTTTGATATAGGTGACATGGAAGAGCACAATGCTTGGGCGTGGTTTCTACATGCGCTTCGTAATGTATTCGGATGTCCCGAAAACTTGGTCATTGTTTCTGATCAACACCCAAGCATCAAGTCGGCTTTGGAGGTTGTTTACCCCGAAGCAACTCATGTTATTTGCACGTACCACTTACGCCAAAATATTCGAAAGTTATTTGAACGTACCGCTTCGTATGAAAACTTTTTAAATAGAGTTTATGACATTGTTGGTGGAGATACCTGTACTTTTTTTTGTTATTTGAAGCTAATACAGAGTTCAGCATTGCATGATAAAATGATTTATCATGCATTCTGTACTATATGCATATTTGTTCAAGTAAATATCAAATACTTACACAGAAAACAACCTTTCTTTACTTGTTCGAATTGGTAATTGTTTTAAATGATGCATTTTTCTTCGCGACTCAGTAATTGTTTTAAATGATGCATTTTTTTTCGCGACTCACGGAGGAACTCACGAGTCACGGTGAAGAACAGAACACAGGCTACAAGCTTCCCAGGGTCGCGACTAGCGAGATTTGTTCGCGAATCGCAGAGAAGAACAGAGCTATATTGTTTAACAGCGCAAACCCAATGCTCGTCAACAAAAGTCCTATGAGACCACAAAAAGACCACAATTGTCAAAATATCAAATACACTACAATTGGCAATAGCAATACACAACCAAAGCACCAAAAAAATGACACTACTTTGACACGGGAATACTATGAGCATAAATTGCTAATGCCATTTTCTGTCTATATAAACTTATGTCCGGCTGGGAATGTCCTCGCCAAGCATGCGTTCAACGTACATGCAAGCAAATATACACCACAATTATGGGTATCCAAACTGAACTTCACTCGGCATTCTCTTAATTGATAAGACATCTAACTTGGGTGAAATATTCATAGTTTCAAAGTAACCGGACCGGTGAAGTAGTGTGGGAAGTAGTCGTCGGAGAGGGGTCAACATAAGCTCTCGGTCATTACACGCCTTTGATGATGAAAGGTGGCTAAAGAAGTCGTAAAGCTCGATCTCCCAGTCCACTAACCGTACTCGGGACACCACCCAATGCTCGTCAACATTACATACCAAAATAACCTGTCATCCGAAGTTACAAACCAACATGTTATAAATGTTATAAATGTAACAAGTACATGTACATGTGCAAGAGCTTTAATAACCTGTACATGTGCAAGAGCTTGAAAAATTAATCAGAACATGCAAATTAATATGAAAATCAACATAATTATTCAAACTCCTAATCCAAGAAAAATTAACAAGAGTAGAAATACAATTACTATAAAACACAATTACTAAAAGTTGTTGTGAAGTCCAAATTGGGTATATTCATGTTGTAGAAAAGTGGAAAAATTGTCATGTTCAAATGAAATGCAAGAAAGAGCTAATAACAAAAGCGAATCAGAATAAGTAAATTAATATCAAAACGAACATAATTATTAAAACTTCTAATCCGAGAAAAATTATCAAGAGCAGTTTAATTGTCCTACTCCAATTATAAAATCTGCTGTCAGTTACAATTAGATATGGCATTTACAAAGAAAAAATCTACTTAGATATGGCATTACAGAAACACGGGGATTAATCATTAGTTACACGGGGCAGACATCTTTTCAATAATGATGCTATGGATTTGACGGTTTTCTACAAATAAATGAAAGAAACAAATCTTGGTTTTAAAAATGTAAGTATAAACTGGTGAGGTTTGAACAAACCAAAAAAAAAAAAAAAATTCCCAATATTTATCGACATAACCATGATGTCATTAGAAGAAAACCAATGGAGGGACACAATTTATGAAAAATGCATGTAAAGGGGGATTTGTAATTATGAAAAATATACTTTGTTGTTGGAACGACACTTCACGGATCTTTTTTGTAATCAATCATATTCAAAACTCAAAGATCTAAAGGCAATACTTGCTCAGAACTTCAGTTCTTTACCTGGATGAATTACATAACTGTAAGCTATATAGTTAATGGTCATCAAGTTATATGAAGGGTAAATGTCCAACTTCAACACTACGTAAAATGCCATTCAAGAAGTAATATATATTTGGTGATGTAAAAGCCAATAACAAAATAATATATTCAACACTAGAACTTAGACTACAAACCATAAAAAAATATGCTAAATATGCGTAGAAATGACACTGTTATGCTCAAACACTAGATACCTCTACGAACTAACTAAAAACAAAAATTCCCAAAAACACCACATTTAGTAACAGCCAAACAACTGCAGAAACTCAAGCACCAACAACAAACCTCAGCAAAAATGACAAATAAAAAAACAAAAAAACCAAACCCAACAACATCCAGAGCCCAAAGCTGAAACTCAAACACCAACAACAAACCCCAGCAAAAATGACAAATAAAAAAATAAAATAAACCAAACCCAACAACATCCAAACAACACATCCAGAGCCCAAAGCTCGAAAAGAGGAAAGAAAAAAAGAAAAAAAAAAGGAAAAGGGCAAAAACATGAACCTCTTTACACTTGAAGAAGCTACAATTCTTTTACCGGACGCCGACAATGACGAGCTTCCACCCGTAAAGACGCTTTTTCCTGAAAACATCACCCGCATCAACAAGAAACAAATGCAAAAAAGAGTAATCCTCATGAACCCTAATTCAAACCAAGCACCAGAGGCCAGATCCGAACAAAAAAACCCTAACTCAGAATAAAAAATTTAAGGTCAAGAACCCTAATTCGAACAAAAATATTAAAGGACAAGAACCCTAATTACCTGATTTCAGAGGCCGGATAAGAGATGAGCAAACAGAGGCACGGTCAATTTTTCACCGGTGAGAAGCTGTAGAGGAACGGCGAGGTCGAGCGGAGCCGGCGAGGTTGTGCAGAGCCGGCGAGGTGGCCACGGGACGATGTCGGAGGTCGTGCGGAGCCGACGAAGTCGTCTGCGGAGATCGGAGGTCGTGCGGAGGTTGAGCCGGCGAGGTCGTGCGAAAGTGAAAGAGATTTTTCTGCTCAATGGGATTTTTCGAGCGAGGAAATTTTTTATTTTTTTTTTCAATTTTCTGCTGAAAGGAATTTTTTTCTTTTTCTTTTGGAGGCACGATTTCACAATATGATTAATTGTGAAAGTGAAAATGAATTGTGAGGTGAATAGATGAATTTGGGGGAAGTGAAAGTGAATTGTGATATTAAATTGGATTGGGATAATTTTGTATTTTCACATGTCAAAATGGCTAAAAAAGATATTTTTATCAAAACATGGCTAAAATTTATCTTTTGTAAATTTATATGACTATTAAGTGGTATTAACACAAAAAAGACCGATAAAAAAAATGAACAGAAAAAACAAATACAAAACATAAAAATCGGCAAATTAAGAGATAACATAAAAAGGAGAGATAAAAGAGGGGAGAAGAAGAACAGGGGGAATAAGAAAAAGAGAGAAGAAACGTAGGAGAAAAGAAGAGAGAGAGAAAAAAGATAAGAATAAACCGTTATTATATGATAAATAAGACTTTTAAAAATGCAATATAAGAGCATCTCCAATGCTCCACTTTGAACATTAATTAAATTTGAACACATGTCAAATGATGAATGAATGTAAATCCATGTAATATGAATGTCAAAAGAGAAGACTTTAACTTGAAATGCACATCTCCAATGCATTCCTTTCAAAAGCTTAAAATAGGTTAGATTTTTAATGATTGACTTTCAAACACTCTTTGGAAAACTAGAAAGTGGGCTTCACACTTTGGATGTTTATTGTCTCTATGTCAGCATAAAAGAATCCATAACATTATGCATTGGAGATTAATTTTTGTTTTCACTTTATAACTTGATGATGTGGCTAACATTTTATTAAGTCAACATCTCACATTGGAGATGCTCTAAGAATATAATGGAGTAATTATGGAAACACCCGGTAATTGGTGGGTAATAAAAACGTAATTAATACTTAATAAAGAGATAGAGAACGTGTTATGTGTAAGGGGCGGGTTGGGCCTTTATTTTGAAGGCCCGCCATGGAGCGGGCCTACGTGGGCCAGCCCGCGCGGGCTCCGAGCTAGGGCGGAGCGGGGCGGGCTAACCCGCGGGCTGACCTGCCAATTATTAAAAAAAAAAAAAAACAAAAAAAAAAAAAATAAAAAGCCTCCTCAACCCCTCATTTCATCTCTTTCTCCTATCTCATTTTCATCTGTGGCTGCGCCTCCATCTACGACTCCCATTCCACACCAACCCTAAATCCCTAATCTAGGATACAACTTATCAGATTTTCTAGAATACAAAAATTGCCCCTCGTTCCACACCAAACTTTAATTTACCATAATTCGCCTCAGCCCTCCGGCGCCCTCCGCCCTCGCCGTATACCGCCGTCGGTCACTCAGTCGCGAGCTTATCGGCAGACGGAAGCTTTGCCGATAGCGTACCGCCCTCCCCGTGCGTCCACCGCCTCGCCCTCGCTGTTTTTCACCTATTCGTCAATTTATTTTTTTTTGGGTGATTTGGGCGAGTTGTGTTGCTGAACAGAGTGTAGATCCGCTGATGCTATAATTTATCAAATGTTAGTTCGTGAGTTTTGTTAAAATTTTGTGGATAATTCTGAGAGTTAATTTTTGTGGCCAAGTCTGTTGACTCTGTTCTAAAGAACAAAACACTAGCGGGTCTGACCCGCCCAACCCGCGGTGGTTAAAATCTTTTTAGTTCGTAAAAAAGTGATAAATATCTTTTAATTACAAAATATTATTAATTCAAAATATAATTTAATTTCAAATATTTCTATGCAAATGCCAAAAAATTCGCAAATGATAATACGTACCCATAAACAATAAGTAATTTGAATTTTGAAGATAGTTATTTGTTAAATAAAAGAATAGTTTAGAAATATATTATTGTCAAATAAATTATTGTCTTTCGAGTTTCGATATTGTGAGACACGTGTATGCCATATAGTATATATAATGTCTATTTTCAAATAATGAGGATATTTAATCTTATAAATTTATAATTTGTTAATTTATTAATGAAATAATCGGTATATCCATTCTTAATCCAATATTATGATAAAAACATCTATCAATTTATTTGTATTTGAAAATATATCATCTTTAAATAATTTATTCTCTCCAAACTTTGTGAAAGATTTATTTCACAAAGGTCGGTTTTCAAACATTCGATATTTGTATTTAATTAATTTATAATTAATGATTATCTGACACGTTGGTTAACTAATTTTGTGATATGAAAAGTATATTCATTTAATTTTCTTTTCAGGAAAATGATTCGAAAATGAGATATTAGATTTAATAATGTATCATATACCGAATGTAGTACGGAAACAAAATAATTATTTTTTCAATTATTAAATTCTATTAACATTCAATAGTTGAAGCATATTTGCAATTCAATTTTAATTATGATTTATGTTAAATTTATGAACAATTGGAGATAGACATAATATATATGGATTTTTATTTGCAATTCAATTTTAAATACAAGTACGTACAAAGATGAATATAAAGTATAAGATAAAATATTATATGTAATATGTATATGGAACATGAATTTTATGAATTGAAATCGATTTCATCGGTTCGGTAGGATTATTTTTCGTTCGATTTGGTTCGGTTCATGGTACGGATATTTTATGAATCTCCAGAACCGTACAAAAAAAAATGGTATTTTCGTAAATAGTCAAACGATCAACAAATATTTTTCGATTCAAGATGAATTCGGCTTGATTATCGGAATGATTCGATAATCTCCCAGTCCCGTGCATCACACGTTCACTTTAGTATTACTAGGCAAGACAAAGGCTAAATCTAGAGAAATTTTCAGATCTGCAAACCTTAAGTACCATCGTTGAAGCACAACGTACGAGGCCCTATGCACCTATCTTCTCCTGAAAATGAAGCTAGTATAGTGTGGAAGTAGCTGAAAACAATTTGCCTGTATTTGGTGGCACAATGGAACATCTATCTGGATAAACAGAAACAAATTTGAAGTTAAATCTTTAGTCAGCTGATATTCTGCAATAGGCATGGCTTCCTTAGGAATTCTCCAGAAATTCTTGCCGAGTGGTAATCCTCGTACTTGTTCTAAACCCTCGACCCGAAAAGCGCAAAGTCGTGTATTTGAGCCATTGCCGGTCTCAAGAAGGTCCGTCATTCTCATTTCTGTTGTTCCCTTAAGCCTTGCTGCACTTCCTCAGACATTGCTAGCTAGAGAGAGGCGCAACAGGAAAATTATCCCACTTGAAGATTATCTCACTAGCCGTTAGTTTCTATTCTGTGTAAAAAAAATATATATTTTTTGTTTCGAATTTCATCAAAATCCTCGAGTTCTTGCCGTTTGTCATTAGCTATTCTGTTTTTGTTGTTATCGTTTTTGAATTTCTGGAGGCTATGTTGCTTGAAGTTGTGATATGGTGTTGCGATGCAAACCAAAATTAGATATTTTTCCTTCTTTTCATTTTTCCTTTTTTTGGGCTTGAAAGGGGCAAAATGTCTGTGCGTTGCTATCAGTTTGCTTTTATGGTTTAGGATAAGATGGTGACCTTATAAGTTTCCTTCTTTTTGTTAAGAGTACATGGATATATGTTATGGAATGTGCCAGCTACTTTCTTGATTCTTGATATTTTCTTTGCAAATTACCGATTTACTAGGACTGGTGTAGATTGGATAAGCTATGAAGGTACTCTTGATTCTCTTTTCTTTCCTTTTCCATTGAAATGACAGGTATTTTCATTTGATATTTCGATCAAAACTGAACATTGTGTGATTTTAACCAATGGAACGCCCACAGGTTCATTTTATTTTATCTATGTACATTTCTGAATGATGTTGTCAATTATAAAATGTAACATTAAACTTTGTCAACCTTTGTCAACCTTTGATGAATTATAAGGGTCCTTTTATCTAAATGTCAAACACAGAAACTTCATATCTCGATTCCTTTAATAACTAGTTTCTATTCTAAAGCAGTTGATGGGCTGAAATATTATGATCTTGTCGAAGGAAAGGGTCCAGTTGCTGAAAAAGGATCAACAGTGCAGGTCTGTTTACACTTCAAGAAATTCTTTTTGTATTCTTCCTTAAAACAAAGGAAAAGAAAGACAAGGTCTCTTTTAGTTTTCTCCTCTGCATCTTAACTTGTTCCTTTTGATGATATAAATTTAGTTAGACTATTTGTAACAACACAACAGGTTCATTTTGACTGTATATATCGAGGCATTACGGCTGTGTCAAGTCGGGAATCTAAGCTACTGGCTGGAAATAGAATCATTGCCCAGGTTAGCAAATTTTAACTTGTTGCCATGAAAGTAGTAGGAAAAGTTGCCGAAAACAAAAACACCCTAGTTCTTGAGTGTATTTTTACAGCGGCTCATTTATTTATAATTTGGATAAAAACCCTTAGTGTTAGTTTTTGTTAGGGAAAATTACACTTTGCCTACCGAACTATCCGCGTTTTTACACTTTGCCCACTCAACTTTTTCCGATGACATTTTACCCCTTGAACTTCACATTTTCTTGCACTTAACGACTTCCGGCCACCGGAGATGCAAAATCAAGGGCAAAGTGTAAAAACGCGAATAGTTCAGTAGGCAAAGTGTACTCGTGAAGACTAATTTGATAATTTGAGGTGTCTCCTAAGGTGTAAATGACGATTTTGCCCTTGATTTTGCATCTCCGGTGCCGGAAGTCGTTAAGTGCAAGAATATGTGAAGTTCAAGGGGTAAAGTGTCACCGGAAAAAGTTGAGTGGGCAAAGTGTAAAAACGCGAATAGTTCGGTAGGCAAAGTGTAATTTTCCCTTTTTGTTAATTGGCCCTAACTTTATATATGGTGGTCACTTACCGCATGTCAATTGCATAATAAATGATAGAAATTTGATACCCACCTTTACGGACCCTTTTTAAGTAGCCTTACGAGTTCCAAGTTGGAGCTGTGCCAGGAAAAGAGCGAAAGCGTGACTTTGTCGACAATCCAAATGGTTTATTCTCTGCACAAGCTGCACCAAAGCCTCCAAAAGCTATGTATACAATAACTGAGGGGATGAAAGTTGGCGGAAAGGCAACTCATTTTTTTTTTTGAAATGTTCTCATCTTTTGTGCCTTCCCAAAACCATTATTCCCCTTGTCTTCAGCTTCAATTCCGATTGTCATTTATATAGTTCTTTTTATCCTTTTCTTTCTCCGGATTATGGGATGCAGAGGACTGTGATTATTCCTCCTGAAGCTGGGTATGGCCCGAAAGGAATGAATGAAATACCGGTAATGTGTTTACCATTTAAGTGTTGATTGAAGAAGAATGTTTAGCATAAATGTCTGGGCTAACATTGACTTGATTTATTTACAGTTGTACTGATGATAAAAGTATGAATTTGAAGATGAAAAATAAGTAGAAAACAATGCTGTGTATAGGTTATGAGCAAAGGCTGGAAGCTTTGTTGCTCATGCACCCAGTGTCGTCTTTAATTCTTGAATTTATTTAAACAGTTCATAGAAGATGCAATTCAAGTACAGTATTATTTTGCTATTCAGTTCCATATGAAGCTGATTCATGAGGTAAATGCCTTTTGCTTTGCAGCCAGGGTCCGAATTTGAGCTAAACATAGAACTTTTGCAAGTGGTACCTCCTAATGGAAAGTGATACACTTGAGAGCAAAAGGACACTTGTATATTTGGAGCCTTTGGAGCCTTTGTGTCAGTGCTTCATTTTTTCTTCACAAAGGAAGAGTGACCTTGTTCCTTACTCAGAGAGGCGGCTTCTCTCTACTTCCGTTTTTCCTTCTTCCTATTTGTTCGATGTGTATAGGAAGCGGACTTGTCTTTGTATATGAGAACCAAGTTATATATTAAGGGCTTTGTATATGAGAACCAAGTTATATATTAAGGGCCAGTTTGGTAACTAAATAAGCTAACTTATAGTTTATTTGGTTGACTTATAATTGAGTCAATTGATGATGAAGATTTTCTCCATGGAGTTGATCAGATTCAAGGGAAAAAAACTTACACAAACAATAGTTCAACAAACAATAGTTCAATGTGTCAGATTATAAAATAGTTAACTAGTGTTTTTTTCTAAAAAAAAAAATGAGTAAGACACAAATTTTATAAACAAAAGTTAAATATAACATATATATTTGTGAATTACATGAGTCGAGCAAGTCGACTAATACTGACCCGAATGAAAGAAAGACTATTTTCAATAAAAAAAAAATAAAATTCTAAAAAGGAAAACAAAAAAAGCAAAAACATCTACAGATTTTTTTTTTTTAATAACTAAAGGTGTTTAGTAAAAAATTACGTATACTATTTTAAGTAAATGCCAAACCTTTTTGTATAATCATATCCCTTAATTTATATTTTTCTAAACAAATAAAGTTCTATATTATGTAGAAATGGAATATTTAATTGTAAATTTTTAGAAAATTTAATATCCAATTATTGATATTACTAAAAATAAAAATAGATTAAGTAGAAACGAAATAATTGATTGAAAAACTTTTAAAAGTATAATAAAAAGATTTAGATTAAATTATTGATAACACGTTGTATAAAATAATAATAAAAGTTTCATCATGAATGATAAAATAAAATATTACCGAAAAAAATACAAATACATAATAAATAATATTTAAAAAAGAAGGATCCGCTCCAATGAGAATGGTGGTCAGTGAAAGAAATAACAATACATCTTAACCATAAAATCTAATCATTCAATGATCAGAAAAAAGCCACACGTTTACATTCATTAAAGGTATGATGGTCATTTTATCTATTTCGCATGTCACATGGGCCCCATCATTCACACTTATTCCCTCTCTCACGCACATACACTGCCAATGGACACACATTAACTCACGCACACACACACAACCAGCAGGGATGAAAGTAGTTTTTCTCGGTTCAACTTGAGTTCCTTGTCCACGAGAAGGGATGAGAGTGCTGTGGAGACAATCCCTAGGAAAGACGCGATGAGGGAAGACATGAGAGACCAGTGGCGGACACAAAAAATTTTATCAGCTAGGGCAATATAAAATAAAGCACTCGAAATTTTTTATGTCGTGTTTATTACATACGAATTTACCTTCTGTAATAAAATTTTCTATTCACATTCTTCTTTTCTCATATTTTTGAGTTGTTTAGGTGGTGCTTGTTTATTAAATTTCTAGAAAAAAACTAGAAAAAAATCTATCTCAATTCAAAATTTAATTTAACCCATTATTCTCAATATTATCAATATAATTAAATAATATCATTCTAAAGTTGGTTGATTCTAGTATTCATCTAGCAACTAGCTTTGTAGATGGTCGGCTATTTAGCACACTTTGGTGTTGCTCTCAGGTCCTTGCCGGTGATCTCGGGGTAGTCCCGTTTGTAAGACTTTGATTTATTTTTATGAGAAATCTATCGTTGGAAAAAAAAAAATTATTCTTACACATTACATCAACTTTAATTCACTATTAATCTACTCACATAATTTTAACTATCTATCATTTCCAATCATTTATCTCATACTTTTACATCAAATCAATTTTAATCATTTTATTTTAAATCTTATTTTAATACATTCTTAAATTCCCACTAAAAACTAATCATAGTAACTTTTTTCAAATAAACTCTAATTAACGAAAAAAAAATAGTTTTTTTTCTAGTTTTTTTTTAAACAAACACGCGGTCTGACCTGCCCTGACCAAATCCATAGCATTGACAATATTTTGATCATTCCTTTATAATTCTAGTGATAACTCATTCTTTACATCTAAAATTTGTCGCATTAGAAGAAGACAAATTATGTATGAAATTAAAGTATTGTATGTGTACATTCTCCTCTTTGATCAACAATAGCCCCATCTTCGATTATCATTTCAATAAATTTAATTATAGAAGAGAACATAGAGATAATGTTCAACTTCGTTTTATGTAGACTATTAAAAAAAAAAACTTAAAATTGTTTCTATTATGTCTCGCAAGTTCTCCAACTTTGTCTTTTCTTCCTAAATATTTATTTGAAAAATTTAACGACATATGTTCCATAGTGTCCATCCGTCCCTGTGAGAGACCCACTCCGACCCGATCGTTTTGAAAATGATTGGTACGTAGAAAGAGATAACCGCAATTCCTATCATCTGCTGGAAGAATGGGATGGCCATCGCCATGACCAGGTAGGGTCGGGTAGTGATGTTCCCAAACGGGGCCTTCTTTTGCTGGGTCGCATTGGTGGCAGTCGTCGAGCTCGGCCTCCGTGTTGCTGGATGTCGTGATAAAGACGAATGTCGGGACCACGGTTGCGGCCAGGAAGATCCGCCACCGGCTTGGTGTAGCTACACGAGGAGGAAGGCACCTGTGCTCCCAATGTTGAGGAAGCACAGATCAAAATCAGAATCTTTTTTTTATATAAGTACACACAATCCAAAGTTGAAGGCTTTCGAGGGGTCCATTTCCGATAGGTACAGCCTGCACGAAAATCAGAAGCCCAGTTCAAAATCGAATATTTTTTTTTTCATATAGGTACCCAAATGTGACTAAGTACATCAATTAA